ACTTATCGCAGATGAAGGCTACCTGCACGTGCGCCATAGACACTGATCGGCTGTCGTCTCGGTTTCAGTGCACGGAAAGGAGCAACGGTAACACTAAGCTTCCATAGTAAAGGTTATCTGGCCGTGGCAGACGCTAATCGTCGGCCGTCTCTCCCTCCGTCCACTCCCGTTCTGAGCGCCAGGATCGTTTTTGAAAAACGACACTAGTTTCTGGTTGCCAGAATCGCTTTAGAAAAACGACACTACTGATAACGATGCTGTTTTGCGGCCCTAGACAACAGTACCGCTCTATCTATGGGCCATACACAGTGATCGGGTGAAAGTATGTGTATACCTTTGGTCGCAATTACCGACACTCACACATCATACATTATGGTAACTCTAAATAGATCGTCGGGAGAAAATAACAGAAGGCCTAGCGACGAACAGACAACTTCCGGTCAAAATGACAGAATTCCATGAAATCCGAACTTTAGGAAGTTCTGAGCACCTCCATTTCATGAATTTCGGCCAGAACGATCTTTTCCCAAATTTAATTATTTTCTACTGTTCGAAATTCATGGCACATTACCGTATATCTATATGGCATCTATGGTGCTTTTAGTGCCTAAAATAGATCTATGGAGTAGCCTGCTTTCTGATTTTGTAACTAACATTCGAAAGGAATGTTCTGATTTTGTAACTAACATCAATAGGAATGTTCTTATTTTAAGAAATTATGACTTAAAAATAAAAGTGCCTTTAATATTCACAATTTCCTCCAACTGAAAATACTGAGTAATTACCTTACTGAAAAAAAATCTCATTTCCCATTAGTTTCACCAAACAAGTATCGTGATCTTGCATTCTTTTTGCATGTTTACGTAATTTAAAGCCATTCATATAAGAATTAATTATCCTTCTTTATTTGCCATTAACGTTTTTTTATAGCTCTTTTACCAGTGACTATTTCTAAGGGGGTGAGGGGGACTGGCATTAAAAGAAGTTGAATGCATGATTCCTTTAATGCCAATTCGAATACTATAGGTCAGTTTTACAAAAATTTTCTAATTAAAAGATGGCATAAACTTTTGAACCCTACATCATAGTAGGTGTCTACTTATATGGAACATTGTGTCCATTTCATTTTAAAAAGAAAGAAATAGCTAATTTTTGACTTTATTTTAGTGGACTATTTGGATTCATCCTTTATTAAAGTAAACCAAAATTATTTTCTTTAAAAATAAAGATCAATTTTTTTGAAGTTTTTTTATGTTTTTATGTTCTTTTGTAAAACTGCCCCCCAACAAATTTTACCAAAAAAGTCAAAATTTTATTTTTTGGCTAAAATCTTCAGTTATTAAAACCCCAATGGCTAAGTTATTTTTCAGCACATAATCTAAAGACTGTTTACCTTGATTCATTGGTCTGAAATTTTACAGAATTTAGTACAGAAGCAAGTCTGAGCTGAGACTGTCATGGGGGCATTCATCGTTCACCCATATTTTTGTTTAACAGGAACCTGACCACCATTACATCCCATAATACTAACCTGCCTGACCACACAGTCCACATCACCATGCAAGGCCGTAACTGGACGTATGTTATTTCCAAGCTCCTCTGGACATAGGTCAACCTGAAACGGAACAGAAGCTTAAACTATGGGATATAACACATTTATGCCCCGAGTCGATGGTATTATAAATCTACATGTTTTTAAAATGCACTTAACCTGCAATTCGGAATGTTTAAATTCTACTTTTTATGGTTAGTAACAAAATATTGGTTAGATGAATAAAATTATCAGATTGAATTTAGTGATTGAGTAATATGTATTAGTATTACAGCACCAATACTCTTCAAACCTGCACTTACGTGCATTTCAAATGTTTATATCCTATTTTTTAAAGTTACTTACAAGATATTGTAAAGAAGAATCAAAACTCTGTTTGAATCGAAAAACAGTAAAAATATTGGTCGTCCACCCTGCACTAACCTGAATGACTTTCACGTCTGCCCTGAATCTGGGAGGCTTTCCAAAATGGAGGATCCAGTTAAGTCTGGCACCCAACAACAATATAACGTCTGCTTGTAAGAGAGCCCTGGATTGCACAAATCAATTAAATTGTAAATGTCAAGCATATCTAATGACACAGATATGTTTAAATCTGACATTTTTCATGAAGAATCAATCACCCAAAGTTTCTTTTGTTTTAAAATTGCATGCGATCATGGAAGTTTATCTTCATATAATTCCCTGGTGTGATGAAGCAGTTTTCCAAAGCACATGCCTTTATTCATTTTACTTCAGTGTAGCAATTCCATGAACATGTAACCACTGTAGTAAACATTGTTTGGTCTCTATTTTAAGCAACCACATTTCTTTTTTTTTTTTAATTTCTCCAAGAGTGTGACAAATACAATATGCATGTGCTAGTATGAATGTGACACAGCCAGCAAACGTCCTGGATATGGCAGCTTTAGTGTGTTAGTTGTAACAAATCTAGTGCAGCAAGGTGCTGTGTGGGCAAGTAGTGGAGAAGACAAAATACTGTATAAGAAGCAAATTCATCACTTGGATTCAATCAGAAAAGTTTTGATATTTGAACTTACATGCACATGTAAAATCCATTTCAGAGAGTATCAATCTTAACCTAAATTATTTTTATTTTTTTCTGTACATCTGTTATCTGTATATCTGTCTAACAAAAGCTAGAGGGTGATGAATCCAACCATGTATTACTGTGGGTTTACTGACCTTGACCTTGCAGCGCTGACACAAAGTTCATGTTCGTCTGCTACCACACCTTTTCCCATGGGTGTCGGTAAAAATGGCAGTCCACATGTCTCCAAGAACATACGAATAGAGCCCTCTGCTCCACTGTATCCTGCACCTAAAATAAATCAAATAACATGTTTCAGGTATTTTTCCTATCTATTTATAAACTTATGCCCATATTTATACATGCAAAATACATGTACTAGTTCACATCCCAAATGCAAAAAAATCTATAAGAAAAATGCACTTGAACAGATATCAACATAACAGTAAAAGGCAGTATATATGGTAAAACACTGCAGACAAGCTTAGTGCTACAAGTGTAAAAAAAATAAATAAAATGTATTTATGTAGTGTATTGATTAATACAGTTAACATATTAGCATATTAGATACTTATGACAAAGGCAGACAGCAGAAAATTTAGGTTTATAGGTTTGTAAACACTAATGCAATGTGTCATGCTCCATTAAGCAGTGATCAACACACTAAGGGCCCGTTCCCAATGAAACTATCCTCCTGGCATTGAGTAGAATACAGAAACGCTGGTTATTATACAAGTAACCTGTAAACAAGTAGGCATGTTAATCTGTAAATCTGATTACATTCAGCGAGAGTCCCTGCAGAGCTGGATTTATCCACGTAGAACAATAATTTCATTGGGAATGGACCCTTAAACTGTGGTCACCTTTTCCTACAATGACCAGTGGTCTCTTAGCTCTCATCAGCTCCTGTATGGCCGTCTTCACACTGCTGGGGTCAGCCAGGGTTTTGGGTGGTGGTGGGCAGGGGGTCACCTGCCTGAAATGTCCAAAATAACATGTCTTTAACACCTGAATTGATGAAGGTAATAAACCAGGAGATGGGGTATTTTAACTATGAAATTAATCTAGGTATTTGCAATGCATTTTAGCTTTTTTGGGTATTATAACTACTTGTATGATCTTCTTAGAACTTCTTAGGTCAGTTATAGACTAAGAGGGAAATAAGAACGATACAGGTGATTTGTCTAAGATAAAGGGTCCCCTTTATGCTTTTACAGTGCAAGAGTTCATTCTTGTTTTTTTGGTAAATCGACACTTTTGGTAGCAAGCATGCATGAACCAAAACAGATGACTCACACACATGTAATAACACACACATGTATTATTCTCTCCCTCTTTTTTTCTCTAACACAAACATACACACAAACACGCACACACACACACACACACACACACACACACCCTTACCAGACTGCGCTCTCTGCCACAGTTCCTCTGATCTGATTCCCAGCCAAGTCAATGTAGCAAGCACCTGGTCTGCCATAAGTACTGTACCGCACTGCCTTGAAAATTAAAAATAGGGAGGTCAAAAATAATATTACAACTCTAAGGTACTGGTATACATTTTTAAAGGTACATTCTTTTTTCCTGAAGTTCAAATCACATCCCAAAACAGTTTAGGGTACTGAAGAATCACAGCCTGAGTTTCAGGGTACTGAAAAATCACAGTCTGAGTTTCAGGGTACTGAAAAATCACAGTCTGAGTTTCGGAGTACTGAAAAATCACAGTCCGAATTTCAGGAACTGACAAATCACGTCACAAAGTATAAGGTTACTAACCCTGACAGCATGCATATTCCATCAGTTCTTCAATGTGTGTACGCAACATAAGCTGGTTAAAAGGTAGCTACATGTATCTGTATACTTTGAATCTCAGGATGGTTGACTTTAATGTGTAACTGAACTTACCTTTTCAATATAGAAAGGGATTCTCTCAATGCTGCTTGGTCGAGCAGAGAACTTGCTGAAGATACGTGTGCTTTCCACCTGTGAAATAGATTTCAGAAAAAAAAATGAAAGTAACATTTAAAAGCTTCAATGAAAGAAATGCACCCCTAAATAATGAAATAAATGCACCCCTAAATAAACTCAGAAGTAAATTAAAGCTAAAACAAACTATACAAATTTAGCAATATTCAATCAAAAGTAAACACTATTTGCAAAGTTGCACATGTAAATTCAGCCTCATTTTATGTTTAAGTCATTATCATAATTTAAGTACTTGGGAAAACTTTGATAATATTGTTCATGTTGCTTTTTGAGGAAGCATTCCAGACAATTAAGCTGATTACATTGACTGTGCCTTAGCAGGAATCCCAGCTGAGATAAAATCTCTCCTGCTAATACAATAACTTCTAATCTGAACACGGCCCAAAAAAGAAAGAAAGTTAGAGATACAGAATGTTTACAAACATGTATGTCTTTACCTGAGGGAACTCCTGAAAGCCACCCTGACCCTCCTGGTCAGCATCAGTAGACCCACCTATTACTATCAGTGGCCTGTAAAACACATGATATATATATATATATAAATATAAAATATATACTATATATAATATTTCATTGATTGCTTGATTATTAATAAACACCAGCAATAAAGTTGGTAAAAACAGTGAAATATCAAACATTTATTACAAATCATTCAGTTGTGACATCATCACTACCAGATCCTCAGTCAGAAAAATCAATCATGATTACACTTATAGCAGATGATGTGAAACACTTATTTTCTCAACCTTATCAGTTAGCAAACTAATCAGTTTGCAAGCAACTGTTTGAACATTGTTGCAAGGAACATTGCCATTGCTGTAAATCTGCTACAAGTTTTAAGACTAATATATTTGGGAAGTTTGCAATAAAGTCTTCAGACCTCATTTACATGGCAAAAATTCCTGAAAACTTGCAGCAAGTTTATTGCAAATGGACGTAGTACATTTGCTGCAAAGAATGGAACTATGAAGTAGGCTGCTTTTCAGTTTTGTTACTTCCACTCAATAGGAATGTTCTGAGTTTTATAAATTTATGTCTTTAAAATCTATACCGGTAATATTCACAATTGTCCCCATTGAAAAGATTGAGTCATTACTAGTATTGTATTGATAACTCACCAGCCATTTTCATTGGCATTGGACATCCCTGCCAGAGCATGTACCAGTCCTGGCCCCGAGACGACAAGGCACACAGCAGGCCTGGAAAAGTGATAACAAAATGTTGTTATTTACTTAAGTTTTAGTCATAGACCCCATTCCTATACCTAGATTGATCTAGCAAGATCGACCCATCTCTCAGGGGTTTCTTGCTGAATTACATTAAGCTTAAGCGGCTTAGATTTCGGGCATGCATACTAAAGCTGCGAAAGGATAGTTAATTACCTGCTAACAGCTTCAGTAGGCATGCCAGACATTAGATCCGCTTAAGCTGAGTGCAATTTAGCGAGAAACCCCTATTCAGGTGGAGGCCAGTTGTCCAAATAGTGTTAGTAAGTAAAATCCTCAGAATCATGAACAATCTTTTTGATTGAGTTTTATAAAAAAGAAAAAAAAAAAAATGACATGATGAAATACCATATCTAAGCCATTCTCTCCTATCTTTATATCCCACTAGACTGATATTCAGAGTTGCTTGTAGTAAATGTACAATATAAAATGAATGATGCTCCAAATGACTTAAATACTCACTTTCCTGTTAAATACCCTATACAACCAGCAGCGTAAGATGCCTGAAAAATGACGCATTGTCCATGGATATAAAATGAAAGTTTTGCCATTCAATAACTGAGTGCGTTTATAAATATCAATATTTCAAACACACACAGACACACACACAAGAAAAAAAAAACAGTTACTGCTAAAGACCTAAGCGGTAAATAAAATATCTTACTTTAAAGTCAAGAGCCAGGAACATGCCAAACACACTATTCTTAGCATATTTTTAACCACCAAAACAATTTTCACAGTGTTACTTTAATAATTATTTATGACATTTGAAAACACTTTCCCTTACACCCCCACATGTTAAACAATATATTTCATTGGGAGAATACCTACTGCCTGTTCATTCCTCATCCCTACAAACTTGATTCCTTCTGCCTGGCATGCTATAGCCACCTCTGTTACTGGTATGCCCACAATACCAAATATGTACTCCACTCCCTAGAAGAGATAAACCAGAGTTGAATAAATAAATAAATAAATAAATAAATAAATAAATAAATAACCATACTGTGTTATAGTTAGCAATAGGTTATGCAAGCTCATTATAAGTATTTCACGCTCTATTAATGCAAGGCATATCAAAATAATGAAGTAGTTAAAAAGATCTATAAAAATAACCAATGTCAGTTTTAATGTGCATTCAAAATACATGTACCAGTACATGATACATTGTACCAGTGTAAATAAAAGTTTTTCTGTCCTGATGTTTTTTAGTTTTTTTCTTTTTTCAGTTTTTATTTTCATAAAACCTATAGACTACATAAGGACAAACATGTTATTGCAGTGAAATCCTGAAAAACGGATGTTAAATTTGGAAGTCGAAAAAATTCACTGTTATCCAATGCGTTTGTGACAGGTCAGTAACTAGGTACAAACTAAAAGCAAACTCTTGTGAGCTCGAATATAATTGCAATTTACATATTGCGCTCAGTTGCGTTAAATAACCAACTCAAATTCAATGTAAGATATGGACCTTAGCTCAACATTGAAATCAAATGCTCCCGTTTACTATTAAATGAGAATAACTGACCTGAGCCTTTAACGATTGAGCTACGATGCTTGCCCCGTCTACCATCGCCTCGTCCGCCATTTTGTCTGGTCACATGATCAGGCAGTCTCCTCTCCCTGGAGGTCGGATTCTGCTTCGTTGTGTGTCTGCTGCATTTTAGTGCTTATTTTGGCTGACTGGCGGCAGCACCTTACGGGTCATGTCACTTGCAGGCTATCCGATAATGTACAGTGTACCCTGACCTAAACAATGCGATACAATTTGTAATCTCGTAAAAATTGCTATTTTTATACCATTGGTCATAGCATGGAGTACATCTAAATGCGATTTGTTTATTATTATGATCTTAAATAATAATTTATATAAAACAAACGATATAATACGTTTTAACGTTAGCCTATTTATTAGCTTAATTGATTTTTCCCGTATTTGGAGATTAAAAACAAAAATTGTCTGGTTTCATATCGAGACACTACGTTTCGTTCGTGTGCTGATTTTTATGTACAGACACAGATGTGTCTGTACATATAGCCATCACCTCATATTTCTTCAGTTGGGATGACATGTCATTTAATAATGCATCCTGTGTTTCAGGATTTTCTTCTTACCACCATCTTAACGTTATCAGCTTTTAGCCAGTATATGATCTTGTTATTTCTTTAAGGAAATAATTATAGAAATACTCAATTTTATTAATTTTTTTTCCATTTTGGCCATTTTGAGTTTGGCTGAGTTTGAGAAACTAATAATTTAAAAACACCTGTCTAACTTTGGTCTAAAGGTTGGTTTTTTAAACCAACATTTTAGTCTACAGTATACTTTTATCCAAGATTGATCAGTGGTAGGCCAGTTTTATGAATTATAAATTACATCAGTTTTATTACAAGAAAAGCATTGCACATGCTTCATACCAGTTCTAACTTTATATAAGTGCATTTCCATGCTTTACCTTGAACAGGAAGCATGTGATATAACAAGAATACTGAACTGATTAAAACAAGTAGGTATAAAGATAATATGTACATGTATCTTGAAGGAAGGGCTTTAGGTGAACATACAATGCCACCATACATACATAAAACAAATAAAACCACCACAAAGAAACAAAATCTTATAAAGACTTGGAGAAAAGTTTGGTCTATGGTATCATATGTGAATATAGAATGTAAATGTCTTAATGAGACATACATATGATATGAGCCTACAATATTTGACACTAAGATGGAACATAACACAATATGCAACAATGGATAGCTTGAAAGAAACAATGATTTATTAAAGTAGTACCCATATTCAACACCCATGGCACACATACCAGAGAACATATGTTCATTATGGATAAAGAAAATTTTGGGAAGAGGGTCAGAGGTAAACTGGTCATGAAAAGTAGTATATGGAGCAAAAATGTTGATGATAAAGATGTCAAAGAAATATCTTTTAGTACTTGAGAAAAAGTGGCCACAGGATTACATATCGCAAGTGCTAGTGCTAGTAAAATAATACTGAGTAAATAAAAAAAAACAAACCTTTAGTGTTATGGTATCTGGAATTTGTCCATGGGTATGTGTTGATGTTCTGCGAGTACTTACCAACAAAGTAATGGTAATGTATAATATGAAGGGTTCTGCTGGTGGCTTTATTACAAAGAGAACATAAATATGAGCTAAGTTGTACCCTAGCTACCAAATGAAGGAGATAAACTAAATGCTCTGAGTTGGAGCCAGAAACCAGAGGTTCAATCATATGGTCATATGCGTACAGGACTATGAATTAAGTGAAAGAGCTGCATCAATACTCGATCAGCAGGTCTTTCTGTCCCTTCTTCATCAGTTGGAGGAATAATGATGGTTCTGTCACTGAGCAGGGCTGGGTGTGTCTGTCACATCTTGTGAAGGAACAGTGTTGGTGACTTCACTTAAGTCCTGTGGTAATGACTGGTATATTACACACTGAGCAGGGCTGGGTGTGTCTGTCACATCTTGTGAAGGAACAGTGGTGGCTTCACTTGAGTCTTGTTGTAATGATTAATATGTACTTTCTATACTGTTGGCTAAATGATCCTGTTTTATTTCTCTTAGTGCACTGACAAAATGTCGTAAGGGTTCTAACTCTGGGTTTGCTCTAAGGATATATCCAATCAAACACTCACATTGGTCAGGGCGGCTGTGTTTAGCCTTGATTATTACCATTTGGTTGTGGTTGATGACATTGTTTCGGTACAGGTCTGACAGGAGTTCATTTGCATTCATGTCACGCAGCAGAAGCTTGTAATTTTTTTTGATGGCTTGTCTCCGTAGAAGTTCCATGTCATTTTCTGAAGTAAAGCAAAATTGAGAACACCACTGACTCATGATTTCACTGATCCTATGGATTGTCATTCACTGCGCTCTGTGTAAATGTGTATTGGTTCCCCTTTTCCCTTTTGTTTTTTATATTAATATATATATATATATATATATATATATATATATATATATATATATATATATATATATATATATATATATATGCTATTAATAAGATTACTCTCTTGTATATCATAGTTGTCAAATGAAACTTTTCTTTCACTATGTGAGTTTTTATTTTTAATTCGTCATTTCCTTAAAAGTATCAAAAATGATCTCTTACCACATACAACAGCAAACTGTCTATCTGAGCTCTGATGTCTTGAATTTAGGTAGCCCAGTTGTGGCTTACAACTTTCTTGTGCTTTCTTCACCTGATAATTATACGGTTGAAGAAAATGGGAACATTTTAGTAAGCATTTTCACCTAAAAATATAGGCCACCTTTGTGGTAAATGTTTTGTTAAGCTCATATTGCTGTTAACATTGCTGGTAAGGTAAATACTACTCCAGCCCAGGTATTGAACTGTTTTGTACTGTGCGGTATTGTTCACTTAAAAAAGGATTACATATCGCTAGTGCTAGTAAAATAATACTGAGTAAATGAAAAATAAGTCCCTTTTGTACTATACTGTAGTATCTAGAATTTGTCCATGGGTATGTGTTGATGTTTTGTGAGTACTTATAAGCAAAGTAATCATGATGTATATGTATATGTATATGGACAGTGCCTTTGGTGGCATCATTACAAAGAAAACATAAATGTAAGCTAAGTTGTACCCTACCAAATGAAGAAGAAAAACTAAACGCTGTGGGTTGGAGCCCGAAACCAGAGGTTCAATCAGATGGTAATATGCCTGCAGGGTTGTGCAGTAAAAGAGTAGCGTTAATATTTCAAAGCGATTTACTTCACGTGAAAGTTGTACATGTATGCCCTTGCGCTCACTTCTTGGCATAAATGGTGAAAACAGAGATGCCAGCAAAAATTTGAAAGGAAAATGAATACATTTCAGAGCCATTTTGATGGTTTTGATAACAAATGAACAGTTGCATGAAACCCTCTGATGGCCATACAAAGGACTCATAGATTCAAACCTACATATGCAAAGATCATTAAGAATGTCTTCTGGGACATCCATATTTCCATAGCCTTCTTGTTCTAACCATGTGTATGAATTGGTCAGTCTGTCAGCCAAATGATTCTGGTTTGTACACTGGAGGGCACGGATGAAATGTCCAAAGGGATCCAAGGCGGGGTCCTTCCTCAGTATATAACCAAAAAGAACCTCACACTTAGCCTCTCTTCCATTGGTAGAAACTATGTCATCTTCATCATCATCATCAAGGATATTGTTTTGATACAAATGGGGAATCACTCGTAAAACTTCCAGGTTTTCTAGAAGTTCAGTATGGTTTTTATTGATAGCTAGCTTCCACAGTTTGTCCATATCGGTACCTATAAGAAGGAAAATTACTTTTTGTAATATTTAAGGAAAAAAAATAGACACATACTGTGTCATCATCCAGATGATTAGTGAGAATATGGTTTCCATACAAAAAGGGCATTACTTGTAAAACTTTCAGATTTTCTACAAGTTCAGTATAGTTTTTCTTGATAGCAAGCTTCAACAGTGTAGTCACATTTGTTGCCTATTAGAAGAAAAAAGTGCCTAGTGGCTGCTTCCAATACTAACACCATCCATCTGATACTAGTAGATATTTGTTTCGTTGTACAAATTGTGCAATTAAAATCTAAAGATTAAGTTTAACTGTAACAGTAATTATTCAATGCAGTGTATTTTAGTTCATTTAACATTTTATTTCACTTTGTTTCAGACGCCTAAAGAAGGATGTGTTACAGCTAGCAGTTACCTGCTAAGAGATGGCAAATGATAGTGCTGGACACAGAGCTTGTGAAGATTGACAAAAATCTTATATGCTATTAATAAGATTACTCTCTTGTATATCATAGTTGTCAAATGGAACTTTTCCTTCACTATATGAGTTTTTATTTTTAAATCATTATTTCCTAAAAAGTATCAAAAATGATCTCTTACCACATACAACAGCAAACTGTCTATCTGAGCTCTGATGTCTTGATTTTAGGTAGCCCAGTTGTGGCTTACAACTTTCTTGTGCTTTCTTCACCTGATATAATTGCACAGTTGAAGAAAATGGGAACATTTTAGTAAGCATTTTCACCTAAAAATATAGGCCACCTTTGTGGTAAATGTTTTATTAAGCTCATATTGCTGTTAACATTGCTGGTAAGGTAAATACTACTCCAGCCCAGGTATTGAACTGTTTTGTACTGTGCGGTATTGTTCACTTAAAAAAGGATTACATATTGCACGTGCTAGTGCTAGTAAAATAATACTGAGTAAATGAAAAATAAGTCCCTTTTGTACTATAGTATCTAGAATTTGTCCATGGGTATGTGTTAATGTTCTGTGAGTACTTATAAGCAAAGTAATCATGATGTATATGTATATGTATATGTATATGGACAGTGCCTTTGGTGGCATCATTACAAAGAAAACATAAATGTAAGCTAAGTTGTACCCTACCAAATGAAGGAGAAAAACTAAACGCTGTGAGTTGGAGCCCGAAACCAGAGGTTCAATCAGATGGTAATATGCCTGCATGGTTATATATGCGGTCAAAGAGTAGCATTAATATTATGAAGGGACATTCTACATGTGATCTGCTCTGCAGTTGATGTTGTGGGGTAGGCCTAAATAGTGAAATCAGAAATAACAGCAAAAATTTGAAAGGAAAATAAATACATTTCAGAGCCATTTTGATGGTTTTGATAACAAATGAACAGTTGCATGAAACCCTCTCATGGCCATACAGTAGACTCACAGATTCAAACCTACATACGCAAGGGTCATTAAGAATGTTTTCTGGAATATCCATATTTCCATAGCCTTCTTGTTCTAACCATGTGTATGAATTGGTCAGTCTGTCAGCCAAATGATTCTGGTTTGTACACTGGAGGGCACGGATGAAATGTCCAAAGGGATCCAAGGCGGGGTCCTTCCTCAGTATATAACCAAAAAGAACCTCACACTTAGCCTCTCTTCCATTGGTAGAAACTATGTCATCTTCATCATCATCATCAAGGATATTGTTTTGATACAAATGGGGAATCACTCGTAAAACTTCCAGGTTTTCTAGAAGTTCAGTATGGTTTTTATTGATAGCTAGCTTCCACAGTTTGTCCATATCGGTACCTATAAGAAGGAAAATTACTTTTTGTAATATTTAAGGCAAAAAATAGACACATACTGTGTCATCATCCAGATGATCAGTGAGAATATGGCTTCCATACAAAAAGGGCATCACCTGTAAAACTTTCAGATTTTCTACAAGTTCAGTGTAGTTTCTCTTGATAGCAAGCTTCCACAGTGTAGTCACATTTGTTGCCTATTAGAAGAAAACAGATGCCTGCTTCAAATACTAACACCATCTGATACTAGTAGATATTTGTTTCATTGTTCAAATTATGCAATTAAAATCTTATGATTAAGTTTACCTGTTACAGTATTATCCAATGCAGTGTGTATTAATTTATTTAATATTTTATTTCACTTACTTTATTTCTGATGTCTGAAGAAGAATGTGTTAAAGCTCTTACCTGCTAAGAGAAGGCAGATGATAGTTTTAGGCCCAGAGCTTGTGAAGATTGACAATAGTCTCAAGTCTTCTGCAAAGTTGCTGGATACAAACAAAATCGAGGTGAATTCTTTTTAAGTGTGCCAGGGTTACAATTTAAATGTAAGGGACAAAAAGTCTTCAGAATTTTTCTGGAAATTTGGATATTTGGGGGTTGTATTTATGCCCCCCCACTAACCCCCCCCCCCCCCCAAAAAAAAAAGTTGCACACCTTCTGCACTTGCATTTTACAGATTTTATTCTAAAGGTCCACTTTCAAATCTGCAACTTGAATGTCCATCATTGCAAATATCTTTCCCTGTCATGTTGGAAATGAAGACGGTTGAATTTTACTTGTAATCATATAGTAAATAAAGAAAACTTGTTGATTAACAGGAAATTGTTGAAATTTTCTCTTTTTTTTGTTGCTAAATAAACACTCATCAGGTATATCATATGCTTGTATTTAAAAAAATTAAAGACCTACCTTTAGTTTTTCAGAAAACAAAACCTTCATAGCATGAATGAAATGATGCATATGGGCAGCTTGTTTTTCTGTCACCTCGATCTATACATGCAGTGGTGTCTTTTCTTATACTGTTATATTGATTAAAGAGTTAAGTTTGTACCTTTGGGTGCTTTTATCTGTAAACTACACAAACTATGACCTACTCAACATAGAGAGATAAGTTCACCATGTGTACCACATACTTGAAATGGTATTATTATCATGCATAATAGTCTTGATTATCACAGCTACATGCATCTGTCAATCATACCTTTAAACAGTATTGTCTACTGTGTGTTAGTTTATGTTGAGTGTTATGTTTTAATGTTTGTTACAATGAAAGTCTACTCTAATACTGATACTCAGCGCTGAAGTTTTCTTTTTTTTTCTACTGGGTACTTATCCTGCAAAGCTTGTTAACCAATTCAGACAAAAGAAAATGATAAACCACTGTAACAAAGCAAACATATTCTTTAAAATCTACAGGAACTTAATTAATTATTATAATAAGTATTATTATTGGATTAAAATATTGAATCTAAGTGTACAAAGTAGGAATGTGGTGAGTCATGAGTAAGAGAAATGATCCTTTTTTTTCAAGGAAAAATTGTTTTAGCAGGAAATTGTCACATGGGATGCTTTTAGATCTTATGTTTGTGCAAACTGTCACTGCAAGGCAAAGCAACCTCATGATAGAATTGTGTTTTATTATATATCATTTTTATGTACAGACACAGATGTGTCTGTACATATAGCCATCACCTGCGTCTGTCGTCGTCGCCATGCACTTTCACCGATAACACGATAAGTGAAAAACCGTCTTATCTTTTGGCTTGAAACTTACAGAACTGATAAATATTCATAATGCACAGGTCAAGTTCGAAAATCAGTATGATCGGGCCATTTTCATGGAAGTTACGCTGTTTTTTCACTTTTTTCAGCATTTTTATAACACCGATAACACGATAAGTGAAAAAATGTTTTACCTTTTGGCTTGAAACTTACAGAACTGATGAATATTTATAATACGCAGGTCAAGTTCGAAAATCAGCTTGATCAGACCAATTTTATGGAAGTTATGCTGTTTTTTTCACTTTTTTCGGCATATATGCAATACCGTTAACACATTTCAAGGAAAATCAATGGGCCAATTTTCTTGATATTCACAGGGGTGATCAGTCTTACTGAAATACAGATGAAGTTTGAAAATAAGCTCGATCGGTTCAGTTTTGGTGAAGTTATTATTATTATTTTTTTGTATATAAGTGTTTTTTTCCTCAGATTTAATTCTTAGGCATGTTAACAATCATTTGTGAACTAATTAAATATGTAAAGGTGTTCTTTTGACATTTCCTGCATCTTAACAATATTGTTAGTTGATTATATAAAAATGATAGTAAACCTGTTATTGTGAAATAAAGTGTCAAAAAATGGAAATGGAAACTCATATCTTTACAGTTTGTCAGATTCAATCATTCACCATGTTCAGAATCTCGGAATGGAGCAAACTGGAGATTTGTTCTATTGATATTTTTCCTATGTCAATAAATTTCAAAGTTGTTCATTTAAAAATGACAGTAAATTGATTATTTTGTTATATGTAAAAAAAAAAAGTGTTGAAAGTGGAAAGAAAATCATTTCAGTACAGTTATCTCTTGTTTAAATTTTGGCATTTTGAAGGTGTGACTCTGAAATTACATGGCCTTGAAGACCTTTCCATGTCACATTTTCTGAATATCCATGATACTTTTATTTTATTATTAAAAATTGATGGTCATTATGTTTTATTGCATAAAAGTTGAAGAAAACCCTATTTTGGACATCGCTGCTTGAATGACCATTAAGGAAAAACCATGTTACTTATGATACTCAAACTTACTGAATAGTTTCATAAGACTGAAGTGCAGTTTGTGTTGGAAAATCAGTGTGATTGTTTTATGTTTTGGAAGCAATGCAGCTCTATAGAGTGCTATATGGGGCTACTGTTTATGGATGGTAATTGTCCCTTGGGGTAGTCACAAGCTAAATTCAGAGCTATAAAATCATTTGCCTAATTAATTTCCAAGTGCCCATTAAATAAGATTACATAAAACACACGTTGAGATTTCCCAGTAAAGTCCCATTGGTTAAGCTCTCTTAACTGTGTCACATAATTAGGAATCGGTGATAATTATGNCTTTCCATGTCACATTTTCTGAATATCCATGATACTTTTATTTTATTATTAAAAATTGATGGTCATTATGTTTTATTGCATAAAAGTTGAAGAAAACCCTATTTTGGACATCGCTGCTTGAATGACCATTAAGGAAAAACCATGTTACTTATGATACTCAAACTTACTGAATAGTTTCATAAGACTGAAGTGCAGTTTGTGTTGGAAAATCAGTGTGATTGTTTTATGTTTTGGAAGCAATGCAGCTCTATAGAGTGCTATATGGGGCTACTGTTTATGGATGGTAATTGTCCCTTGGGGTAGTCACAAGCTAAATTTAGAGCTATAAAATCATTTGCCTAATTAATTTCCAAGTGCCCATTAAATAAGATTACATAAAACACACGTTGAGATTTCCCAGTAAAGTCCCATTGGTTAAGCTCTCTTAATTGTGTCACATAATTAGGAATCGGTGATAATTATGTAGGTAAATGTTGTTAAATATTGCAAATAAGTTTACAAAAGAAAAAAAATTGTGTTACGCCAACATTAATGCTATAGATAAATAACCTTATTATCCTCAAACACATTGAGGTTATTCATATCATGTTAATACAGCAAGATTAAAAGTTTGAATAGCAGCTTTATTGGAATATTTTTGTTGTGTTTTCTTTTTAATTTATTTTTCAAACACTGGCATTTTTCAGCTCCCATTCACCTGAAGCTCTTCACATTTTCTGTATTTTCACATAAGCAGTTGCATTGGTTTTTATGTCTTTAAACATTATGTAATATTATTTTATGCATTGTCATCAATTTTCAAATATTGGGATTTTCATTATGTGAATTTGAACTCTCATGGTCCTTAAACTGTAATCTTATTGCAGGGGTGGATTGAGGCTGTCTTCTGGGTCTTTCAGATGATGGTCAGATTTTAAAGTTCACATTGATGGGTATCTGTTTTTTCTGTTGGAAGACCATAAAAATGGAGGCTGGATCAACAAAGATAATTTGGAATACTGTCAGAAAATACCTCTGGATCTGCTCCTGTTATTGACCATGTTACCTGTTGTGCATGATTAAAATTCGGTGTTGATTGACAGTGCTATTATAGGCATTATTTATTATTGCATCAAAATTGACAAAATGACCCATTTTCTGCATTTTTATTTTCTGTTTTTGTCTGTACATTTGACAGCTTTGCTGCCTTGTTTAAATATTGTTTAGGCCTTGAGTAGAAGTATTTAAACCTGAAGTGTTGTGTTTGTTGAAGCATGGGAAATATTTTTAAGAGAATTAAACGTTACAATGGAAGTGAATGGGATTTTTAATAGTGGTTTGTAACCTGTAAACAACCTCCTGCACCGCATTCCAAAAACGCATTAGTTACATTTCGCACGATTTTATATATTTTTCTAAAAGCTTCATTAACGGCCTTTCTGCTCGCAATATAGACTTTATTTTATATAAGTTATGTCGTCCCTTTGTGAGTGAATTTTAGCAGATTATAATTTTCTTCGTTGCTAATTTTCTCTCTTTGATAATTCAAAAATGAAAGTGGATGGAAAAATAATTTAAAATAAAGCATACGTCAAATGTCCACAGATCAACATGGGGGTTTGGGAAATATCATTACAAAAATATTCATTTTTATTAATATCCACATAAATCGAGACTTTCATCTCTGACCATTCATAAAGAAATGAACAATAAGCATGAAATGTGACCATAAGCTAAATGAAACTCACATATGCAATAACAAAAATTTATTTGATTATTACCAACATTGTCAACTTCAAAATGGGCTAGACTGTTGGCTAGACAGTTTTTGTGCACACAGGAAAAAAATCAACAAAAACCACACTTGACATAACTATTAAAGAAGAAAGAAAAAAAGTTACCAGTAAGCTTAAATTTAAAAGATAAATAAAAGACAAAAAAATCCAATAATAAATAAACAGGTGACAGCTATATGTTCAGGGCTACCGTCTATGCATCAAAAAACTCTTAACTTTTGAAAAAACTTTAATAATTAGGCAACAATATAATTATCACTTAGCACAAATATAGAGATCCACATCAAAATAATTTTACCCCTTTTCCAAAGGCAAGTTTTTTGAAGAGCAGTTATATTATCATCTCAAATACCTTGTTAATGTAAATTATGACTGAAATATGTATTTACAACAACCTCTGTTTTACAGATATAAGTGCGCATATCACTTTGCTTGGCATTACACAAAAACAATTTTTATGTATAAACAGATTATTTTACAGTAAATACATCACTGAAGAGTTGTTTGAAAATGGTTCGTAGTAAGATAAAGCAATGCAGTTGTGGCTTCATTTGAAGGAATAAAAGTATTTTGTTCATAACCTTCCAAAGTCACTTCCACTGGCGTACCATTGGAAACAGACACAGGCACCGCGGTGTTAGTTCCTTCATGAGTAATATGAACAATTGTCTGTCCGTCTGCTGTCTGATGAAAGTCCTCCGGCTTGATAAGGATCTGAGTAGACTGGACTGTAGGGGGCAGTTGTGTCGCTTGGCTATGTATCACTTGCTGGACCTGCTGAGTAACCTCCTGTGTCTGATTATTTAAGGCGTCGTGTGTCCTCTGGTGTCTCAGCAAGGCGTACTTCGTGTTGAAGCGTTTTGGGCACTGACCGCATTCGAAGGCTCGCGGGTTTTTGTGTATGGTCTCCACGTGTTTTCGTTGGACTGATTTAGTCTTGAAGGAAGCTCCACATATCTCACAGAGAAATGAACGTATACTAGTATGCATTGCCATGTGTTCTGCTAAGTGCGCCTGAGAAGAAAAAACAATAAAATTTTAATTTCATCAAGGAATTCAAGGTCTACTAAAACTCAATATTGTACATTGACCACTCATACAGTCACCTAAAACAACACTGTCCAATGAGCAAATTTGTAGATTTTGACTCATCAGACTGAAAGAGACATCTCAATAGGACAACTGACCCTTTAAAGTGCCAAAAAGATGGTCAATAAGAATACAAGCAATATGGCAGTTTTCAGCAATTTTACAAGTTTTTATGTTATCTTGGAGAGCAATATTCCAGTTTTACGACATAAAAATTGTGTTGATTTTAGATTGAAATGTTAATATGGTCTCTTGTCAATGGTTATTATAAACCTACCCTTGAACGGAATGGTTTGTCACAGGTGGAGCATTTAAACCTGAAGATGCGAGATTTCTTTTCCGTGTGGATCACTCGGTGTTGGCGCAGGGCATCCGCTCGCTTGAAAGAAGTCCCACACAAATCGCACAAAAATGGCCTTTGATTGGTATGGACGTCTTTAATATGTCGCAAATAGTGTTCCTTTTTCTTAGTACTGTAAGCACATTTCTCGCACTGGTACCTCATTATTATTTTGTCCGTGCCGTTTATGATGNCTAACCTTAGCCAAATATATAGGGCATCATTTGCCACTATGATCGGGGCTCTGGGACTTCCGGTTTTTGAGATCTCGGAAACAAACCTTTTTTGAGCCCGTTTGGCCATTAGTGACCTTGACCTTGACCTACTTGCATGAAAGTAGGTCATTATCTGTGGATTGGCCTCAGTATCATTGGACATAAGGCCCTTAGCCACAGGGCTTATAATTAAGGCCTAATGGCAATTTTAAATTTTACAAATTTTCTCTTTAAAAGCCACTGTGACCTTGAAAAGTAGGTCAAGGTCACTGAAACTAGGTCTATGGCATGTTCTTACCATATGCTACCTATGTAAATTATTTCAGATTTTTTGCGAAAAAAAAACACGCGGAAAGAATAAGAATAACTATAACTAGACTGCAACTGGCTGAAGCCAGTGGCGGAGGATTCCCCTGCAAAATAGGTGTGGAAAGGCTCTTACAAGGTCATGTGAAGGTCACGGGTTAAATTTGACCCCATATTCTGAAAGAACATGTGCGAATTGGGGGGGGGGAGTCAACAAAACATCACTTTTAGCCCACTTCAATATTTCTCCATGAAATAGCCGAATGACCTTGAAAATGAGGGTCAAGGTCAAATTTGACATTTGATTTGGGGGTTTTGGGTATATAATATGTTTGGGGTAGTTTACTATAGCATGCTATGACCAAAAACCAGTGTTTCATGGAGAAACTGCCAAACTCAAGATTTCTGCAATGTCATAAATATTTAAAAATCTATATTAAAAAAAGTAATTAAGCAGTCGCTACCAAAGTACGGTTAACCTTAGATAAATATATAGGGCATCATTTGCCACTATGATCAGGGCTCTGGGATTTCCGGTTTCTGAGATCTCGGAAACAAACCTTTTTTGAGCCCGTTTGGCCATTAGCGACCTTGACCTTGACCTACTTGCATAAAAGTAGGTCATTATATGTGGATTCACCTCAGTATCACTGACCATAAGGCCCATAGCCATACGGCTTATACTTAAGGCCTAATGTCAATTTCAAATTTTACAAATTTTGCCTTTAAAAGCCCCTATGACCTTGAAAAGTAGGTCAAGGTCACTGAAACTGGGTCTGTGGCATATTCTTGCCATAGGCTACCTATGAGAATTATTTCAGATTTTTTGCGAAAAAAAACGCGCGGAAAGAATAATTACTTTAATAATAATAATACCAAAAACAATAGTATTCCCCTATGGGGAATCCTAATAAACTTTATCCATTGGGGTAAAACGTACCCTCTGGGTTGTTAAGAATAGAACATTGTGTTAATGAATAAAAGATGTATATAAAAATTAATTGAATAATAATAATAAAAATAAAGTAAATTTGAATCACAGCTCTCTCTCTCTCTCTCTCTCTCTCATAATGATAAGAGTTAAAATGGACTTATATATTGAGAATTAGTATTGACGGTCAGTTTGTGTGTCGTACAAGTATCTTTTTCGATCTGTTTACACTGCTGCTACAATCCCTCAAGACCGATAACACCTGAGAATTAAAATTCCTAACGCAGTAGTAGGCCTATGTGTAATACATCCTCCCATTTTAATTTTAAAATTAAAATTTTGACTGGCTGAATAATGCAGTTCTAAACCGTAGGCCTATCAAACAACACCGTTCGCCCCCTAAACTATAAAAATCTTATCGAGGCTCTTTAGCCCCGAACCCCATGTCAAGAATGTGGAGGGGGGGGGGGGGGGGGAAAGGTCGGCTTTGCATTCTAGCCCCCCCCCCCCCTTCAAATAATCCTGGATCCGCTTCTGAATATATAGGCCCTATATCTTACTTGATTTTTCAATTTTCTGTTTTATTCAATTGGATCTACAGGGGGTGACAAAAGTATTGCACCGTTTTGCAAATATATTCACATAACGCACTATTCACACAAATAGTGCAATACTTTTGTCACCCCCTGTAAAATCAGACACATGTGTTCTGCAGCCGAATATCACTAGATTGCTAGCAATGGCTCTGTCCTATGTTAATTCTCCAGAACTTGCATTCAAAGTCATCGAAGAATACGAAATTAAGACTAACAGCCAATTTGTTCATTACAGTGGGCCATCACCAAAGAGATTTGGTTCATCAGGTAAGTTTATATACATTTACACCGTCTTTCGAGCATTTTTGATGAATTTTAACCAGTTTTACAAGTTCAAAGGAACAACCACTAAAAGAAAAAAAAGATCTTAGAACTGTTTCACCAAATCGAAAATCCTTACTCCTGTGATTTTCAGCCTATCATAGTTATTTCTTATTTATATCTATTTTATGTTTATCATAATTTTGACTAAAAGATCTTTTAGATATTTTCATTTCATTCGTGTGATTCTGTGTGTATGTGCTCGCGAGTGTATGCGTGTCACAGTACACGTGTGTGTGTGTGTGTGTGTGTGTGTGTGTGTGTGAGAGAGAGAGAGAGAGAGAGAGAGAGAGAGAGAGAGAGCCTACTGCAACCCTAACCCTGTTCACTTTTAAACGTATTAGCAGAAAAGAAAAACGGTAAAATAAAATGGCAACAAGTGCGAAACAGAATAACCCCCACCAACGGCCTCCATAGTCCCCCACCAACCTGCATAGTTTATTTTATACATTGTTTTTAAAACTAGTTTTAAATGTATAACAAATAGAAAAGCAAAAACACCCTTAAAGTGTCAACAAGTGCACCCCTCCATTACATATGTGCAACCAATAGTTCTTTTCATACATTGTTTTTAAGAGGAGTTTTCAAATGTATTTCAACAGAAAAAAAAAAAAAAAAAAAAAAAGGCACCCGACTTATATACCAAATGATAACCCTAATGTCTCCATCTTTTAGCTGGTTATTATTTTATCAATTTAAAGACCTATCTGTTTTTGGTATTCTTTGATTTGTCATCGTAATCTTGACTAATAGATGTGCTGCATGTGCATTTTATATTTTCATTTAATGTGTGTGTGTGTGTGTATGTTTGTGTCAATTGTGTGTGTGTGTGTGTGTGTGTGTGTGTGTGAGAGGGAGAGAGAGAGAAAGAGAGAGTTGAATTTATGTGTATATGTATTTTTCTTATAGGCCTACTGTATTAGTTGGTATGACAGAAACAAATTTGAAAAAACAAACAAACAAAAAAGAGACCACAACAACCCTAACCCTGTTTCGTTAAGATTTGTTACACCCTCTTTTTATAACTAGTTTTAAAAGTATCTCAAACAGAAAAGAAAAAAACACTATCATATAGTGTCACGAAGTGCGAAACAGACCCCCCCCCCAACACGATCATTAATTATAACACATTGTTTTTTAAACTATTTAAAGTGTAGGCCTACTTCAAAAAGAGGAAAACCCCTGCCTAAAGAAAAAGACAACTGACTGTTGTACTACATGATAATCCTTACGACTGAACCTATCATTATAATATTTCAATTGATAATTATTATTTACTCTTTTCTTCGTCATCATAGTTTTGACTAAAAGATGTTCATTTTTATATTTACATTTAATTCGTGTTTCTCCCCTCCTCCCCCCCCCCATGTCTCTTTGTGGATGCTAAGATTAATAGGGATATCATCAAGATACACATGTATTCTAAAAGAAAGTTAAACATCCAAAAGAAAAAGGCAAGGCATTTACCTAAATTTACAATTTTAAAGACGGATACACATTTTTTTCTTGGTGAAGAATATGATAAGTTGGATAATGAGAGAGCACGGTATAGGCCTACTCTAAATTACAGGATATTATTATTTTTTCATATTGAGTGCATTGGATATTTGTGTGTTTTGTGGAAAATTTGGGGTCATGCCGATACTTCTTCGCACCGTTACTCCCCCACACCGATACTCCATCACATCATTCCTTTCCCGCATCAATACAGTGATAGTAAACATGAACAAACAGCGGCTATCTTTATCAGTAGGTTTTTAATTATACCCTTTATTTTATCCTATGACACTGGCCAGGCCCGTAGCCAGCAATTTCAAAAGGGGGGTTCTTTTTTAGAAAAAGTGGACCTTTTCCCATAAAAACTTCATGTACCTAGACCAAATTTTACCCAGAGTGGACCTTTTCCCAGCAAAACGGGCGGTATTTTCGAAACCCCCCCCCCCCCAGGCTACGGGCCTGCTGGCAGAAACCCATTTGGCAAATGATTATTACTTACCTACAACTAGACGTAACATACCTTTCACATAGAAAAAAATATTGATAAGAAATAAAAGTGGCATTAGATCTAAAATATTCACATTAAATACCTATAAATTGTAAATTGTATAAATCTGAATGGTAGGGAATAGGAAATCACCCAAAGTCTCTGTTTCATGTTTTCTTCATCGCATAAGTACAACGTTCTATTGACAACAGACAGGCGGCAGTGGAAATATAGTAGTCGTACTCAGAATTTGATGATAACTGTTTTAAGGTATATTTTAATGGCATTTTCTAACCTTCGGCAGACATAATAAAGTAAACAAATGGATGAAAACAACATTAAACTTATTTCAACTACAACTATAACCTCTTTAAATGATTTGGGGCAAAACATTTTGCAGGAGGCCTAATTAACTAAACAAAACAAGTGACATAAAACGGATTATCACGTTGTTAACGACGATTTTGCCGTACTATAACAGGGGCGGAACCAGGATTATTTGAAGGGGTGAACGGTTGCGAAGCCGACCCCCCCCCCCCCCAACCTCCCTTGGCGTGGGGTTTGTGACCCGATGAAGATCCCCAAAACTTTTGGTTTTTTTAGAGGGCGAACGGTGCCATTTTCTACGGTTTAGAGTGATAATTCAGCTAGTCAAAATTCTAATTAAATTAGTCAAAATTCTGACACCCCCCCCCCTCTAAATCCGCCACTATACAATGTATAAAGAATTCGTCATGTCACATTCAAAGATAGTAGATTGTATCCGTGGATTTTGTAATAATCATATTACCGCGGACCACATTTTTTCTTCTAATGTTTAATAATCTTTTCTTTTGCTTTACATTTGAGTTAGGAGAACGGTTTAATGAAAACATATTACGAATGGTGCAATTTGTAAGATAAGTATTTGTCTAAAACGAATACCATAATCGTTCATATCTTTATATTGCAGACTGGAAAGTTTCAAACAAAAAAATCAGGTGGCAGCAACGAACTGATACTTCATTTGGACGCCTAGAGTTTGATGGGGTGCCCTTTATGACCTATAGTGAACTCATCCTGGATTGTCGCCACGGGCCTGACAGGAATAAAGCCCTTAAGGCGAAACTAGCTGCCGCTAAAGCTAAAAAGGTTGCTAAAATATATAAGTTATAGGTCTTTAATTTTGTTAACATTGGTGTTAGAGCCTTGTCTGATATTCATGAGGGATATGATTTGTTGTATGGAAGGGGGGGGAACAAATGACAAAATCGTACTAGTACTAATTTTCGTTTTCAGATAAACGATCAGGAGTCGGATTTTGTTTATTCAAAACACCAAAACTTCGAAGTAACAGTGAAGTTTAGTTGCCACGCGCAAATACGACTGCTGGAAGTAGTTAAATTTCCAGAGTACAAGGTAATTGTCTTCTTTTTCTGGAAGTTATATATTTTTGTGCGTGTGTGAAACTCCCTCGGTCATGATGTAGAATTGTAATCAATTGTTTTAAATGCCCATGTTATTTATAGAAGATAAACAAACATTGGTAATTTTACCGTTATGTAATATTGCCTCGAAATTGACAAAAAATCTGTTTTGTGCACCGCCATCACAAACATTATGCAAAGAAAAATGTGTTACTAATTATTTTTTAACTTACAATAATGATTTATAAGACAAATTTTGACATACAGCTCAAATTAAGACGCCAGCTCTATTTGATTATCATTTTGTTATTGAATTTATATAATTTGTGGCTAAATAGAATTATTTTTCTCATCCTTGCATTTTCAAAGTGTGAACCTGAGCTGTTACACATTTAAATACATTATTACCGGTACCCTTTTTTGTGCAATATTATTTTCTGCTTATTTTTCTAAACTTGTCGTTTCAATTTTTACCATAGATTGAGGTTGATTCCAAGAATGCTCGGAGAAATCAATCCACAAAACTGAGAAATGATATAATGAATGGAAAGGACGTTGTCGCAGAAAAGCGTATATACGTCTACCTTCCAGATGAAACAGAGCATACAAACCATCCAGTTGGAAAGGTTAGATCAAATCTGAGTGTTTATCATTAGAAGATATACTATAACACGGTATTGTTTTTTTTCACATCTGCAATTGACAACAGACGGCTAATTGACTAATTTGATTGAAGTAGTATAATAAGCATTTTTGTACCACTACTGGCGCTTCAAACAATTGGACAATTGCACTTGCATTTCGCATTAAGGCTTGCATGTATTTTCCTGCGGTTCGAATGATTGAGGATATTAAGAAAAACAGCGATCAGTTCATCTTCCATTGGTAGTTGCATAAAATACAGCTATATATATTAGCAATATCTATTTTGGCGGTGGCGTCAGTAATACAAACATTTATTATTTATTAATATTTTAGGACGCTGGCTTTCATCAACAGCTCGATCATAGGGTGATAGAGCATATCCAACACTTGGTTGCGGAAGGAGTGACAGACCCCCAGGAAATGAGACGTCACATAGAAATATATGTCAAGGGTTATCCCTTTCAGCTGGATGGAGAGCAGCGACCAGATAGATCGAATAGGAGGTTTTATCCATCTATCGTAGACATCCGAGGCCACATGTATCGTGCGCTCGTAAAACTTCGCTTTTCCAAGATAGATCAGGAGAACTTTCGAAGAATCGTGGAATCCTGGAAAGACAATTCTGATGACAGCTTCTTTTTTCGCCCCTACAAAAAAAGGTTAGACATCGATTTCGAGACAGCAAACATCACAGATGACACTTTCACCGACGACATAACTATCAACCAGAAGACTTCGGAAGAAAGACTTCTGTTCGTTCACCAAACACAATGGCAAAAAAGACTTTTATCGACTTACGGGAATGAACTATTCTTATTGGATGCCACGTACCGTGTGACAAAATATTCTTTGCCATTGTTCTTCTTAGTTGTGCGTACCAATGTAGACTACCAGGTAGTTGCGTCATTTGTGATACAGGACGAAACCACAGAAGCTATTTCAGAAGCTCTAGCCATGGTCAAGTCTTGGAATCCTAGTTGGCAGCCCAAAAACGCCATGACAGACAACTGCGACGAGGAAATAAAGGCAATCGAATCCGTGCTTCCAGGTACGTTTTTTTTTTCTCGACTTGTTTTGTTTCATTTATTACGCTTACCTATGACATCTCTGTTGATTCATGTGTGGGGCAAATAATGCTGGCAAGGAAACCTACCAGAAAAGAGAAAACGAGGGAGGCCGGGAAAAAAATATATGCTATCAAGGAGGATATGCAAGATTTGGGAGTGGGGGAGGCAATGCGTGGGACCGGTTTAAAAGGAACGGAAGTCCGCTAGGAACCGTGGTCCATTTCCCTTAAATTTTTACAGGTGACATTCGGCCCATATACTAACCCCAATACTCCAACTACCCTAACCTGTACTAATCGCATAGGACTCCGGACTTCCATACCAAGGACAACCGTCCCCGTCACAACGATGTGGGTGGAGACGTTAAACCGCTGCGGTGACCCCTGAGAAGGAACAGGGTCGAATGATAAAGACGAAGAAAGAATATTACATTTGTATTGATTCAATTTTTAAGCATTATAACAGTATCTTATTTTAACTGACGTGACAAATTTGATGAATTCAATTAAATAAGCATTTTCCATTTTCAGGATGTAGCGTGCTGCTTTGTGATTTCCATCGTGAACAAGCGTGGCTAAGGTGGCTTAGAAAATCATCAAACGGCATGTCTGAAAAAAGAGCAGAGATCTTAGCCCGATTCAGGAAAATTGCACAAGCTTTAACCGAAGTCGAATACCACGCTGCAGTTGCAGACCTTAAGAGAAGTCGTGTCTGGCAGGACGACAAGAGCAAGAAGCTAAGGCAGTGGTTTGAAGGAACCTGGCTTAAAGTTCATAAGGTGAACAGATATAGGGAAGGACTGCAGGCAACGCACAGTTTAAACTGTTTTGTAATTTTACAGATGCCAAAGATATCTGGATACAAATTTTAATGAATTTGAGCTCTCAAACTTTCTACGCAATGCACGCATTTAAGCTATTCTGTGTTTATAATAAAGAAAATGTTACTTTTTACAGAGATGGGTAAAGGCTTTCCGTGCACACAGACTGCTTTCCTTTGTTAACACAAACAACGGTGTAGAAAGGCAGAATAGGACGTTCAAATATAATTATCTTAGGCAGTGCAGCCGTAACAGCCTCAGCACCATGGTGAAGGTCCTTGTGGAACGTTTTCTGCCAGACAGATACAAAGAAGGGTGAGCTAATTTGTAAGACTGTAATTTTAAAGATCACTCTGTACTTTAACTGAGAGTATGCCTCTTTAAAACAACTTTTACAGGTATGTGATCCAATGTATTTTGACGTATTTTATTACAATTTGATATAACAGGGCTACTGGGAAGATCGTATGAAACTAATTAAGAGATGTTGTCAAAACTGAAAGTTCTCTTTTTTGTTGAAAATTACCATTTAAAATCGTGGGTAAAAATAGATTTATTGTACCACCAGCGTTAGCGCTGGCGGTACACATGGTTTCGGTCCCGTCCGGTTCGTTCCGCCGGCTCCGCCGGCTCCGCAGCCATATTACCGTTACCGCTTCTCCTCCTAGACGGTAAGGGCCCCCGTACCCATCTCTTGGATTTAGGTCACCTATAATCTCAACTCGTTCCACGTAAAATTTGGGCTTTGTCGGTATTGGGGTCTGGGTGTGGCACTCATTGCAATGCACCCTTGTCCAAAGATGGCAAAATTAAATGCTAATTATCTACCCTACGGAAGGGGTTATGGGGAAAATTTCTACAGACGGCTTTCCAAAAGTCATATGTGTAGATTTCAAATATGCCCTTGGATTTGACCTTTGACCTTTACTTCAAGGTCAAACGGGCCAAAATTTTCAAAAAAATAAATTTTTTTACGAAAAAAAATTTTTTTGCCCTGTTATTCAGACACCACACAGACTTAACCAATAATATTATTGGAAAGTGTTACCCTTCAGGTCATCTTTCATCTCCCTGAATTTGGGGTCAATCGGTGCATTTTCACGGGAGTAGCGGCCATAAGATGCCGAAACTGAAAACTGTCTCTAATTCGGGAACCGTTAATGCTAGAGACCCATTCTTTTTTGCATTTTGTAGAGCATGTAAAGCCCAACACTGAGGGTGGCCTCCGTTTTTTTGTATTCCAAACGGTTTTCGAGTTACACTATCAGAAAGTACATATTGGTGGTGAAAGCAAAATGTGCAGTACGGTATAGTCAGGTGGCTAAGTCCAAATTTTATCCAGAATTGTGCAATAGATGATAAAAGCATGAAACTTTCCACGATGAATGACCATTGGGTGTTCGTCTATTTTGGATCAGGGGGTTGACAAACACCCAATGGTCATTCATCGTGGAAAATTTCATGCTGTTATCATCTTTTGCACAATTCTGGATAAAATTTGGACTGAGCCGCCTGACTACTTTTCACCATGAACTAAACTTTGCATATTTTGCTTCCCTTTCATATCCAAAACTGGCAGAGATAGGTCCATAGTTACTATTGAACCTGAATAGGAAGTCATACACTGGCAATCTTACTGTGAAATTGACCTTTCACCTACCTTTTGATGAACTTTTGATATATTTTTTTGCATATTTTGAAAATTCTTGTTGATTGCATTTTTACAGCTTGTCAATCAAAAGACTGGTGGCTGTGTCCCTTATTTTGTGTATGTGGGGGTCTATACGAATGCGCTTGCTCCAGCTGGTGGTACAATATTCGGAGGCGGTATCGCCTCTCTGATCCTCTCCAAATTCCAAATTTGTTATGTGGGGTTCATGTCGAAAAGTGGGTCAAAGGTCAATTTCAAGATCACAGTTAGATTTTCAATATATGACTGCCTATTTAAGTTCAATAATAACTATGGCCTTATCTCTGCCAGTTTTGGAGATAAAAAGGACTTAAATGTTGCAATGGTGAAAAGTAGGTAAAAGGTCAATTCGAAGGTCACATTTATTTTGAATTGCTTAATCAATGTTCTAAACCGTACCAAATAACAACATTCACCCTCTAAACTACCAAAATTTTTCCCGGCCCTTCAGCCAGCCCCAACTCCCAATACTTTTAATGTAAATCATTTTGATATGTTATAACATTATGATTTTCATACTGTATAATAGAATGTGCAAAAGCTACTGATAAGTACAGTAAGTTGCATATAAAACTGTTAATCAAAATTTTCAAAGAGATTCACCAGGTGTAACTTATTCATATTTCAGAACCCAACTAGATAAGATATCCCTCTTCCCACATGGCCATAAAACGTACACTAACATCTGGACAAAACGACATTTTCTAAATAGCGTCAGATTTCTTAATCAAAAATGTCTGAATCTTCTTCCATTTCTGTTCTGGCCCCTACCACTCTCTCCTGATGGCCTATTGCCCCCCCCCCCCAATAATTACCTTTCACCCATGCCCTGTCTCTCACTCCCCTCTAATGCCCCTCATGTCCTCGTCACTGTCTTTTCCTTGAATATTATTATTATTATTATTATTATTAT